CAGGAGCAGCCGCAGGGTCCAGGGGGCCCGGGCACCCACAGCTCTGCTTTGGCTCCGGGAGCGTCGCCCCAGGGGAGCGAGGGGGCCAAACAGGAGCCCGGACACTCTGCCTGCAGGGAGTGTGTGTTTTGGGCTTTTTAAATTTGTGAAATTTTTACTCAGGTAATTTTAACTTAAAAGAAAACAAACTGAAGCAGATGTCAGGAAATACTAGCCTTAAACCGGTTGGGACAGAGGGTGGCTTTTCCTTGGGTGTCGGTCCTGAGGGTGAGCGAGGGCAGGTTCAGCCCTGGCAGTGGGGCCGGCGCCCCTCCAGCCCCGGGCGCAGGGGTGGGAGCCTGCCGGCTGTGGGGGTGAACCTGCTTCCTGTGCATCTGGGGGACCCGGGGGTCCCGACCGCCGTGGCCGATGGTGTGTGTCCACCAGGGCTTGCCAGTTTGCACGCATGCCAGCAGGTCCCCATCCCCCGCACGCCCACCTCCCTGGTACAGACAGGCCGAGCCGGCCCACCCAGCACCTCCGCCTCGGGCATCACTCGTGTGTGTGTCAATCGATCCTGTTGTGTTACGACGTCGCGTCCCTGCAGCCGGTCTGGCCGGTGTGATTGTGCTGACACAGTGTCTGACCAAATCAGGTGAACCCACAGCTGGGCCTGGGGCCTCGGGCTGGCCGCGTCCTTCCTGTCACTCGCTTGTGTACGTGTTCCTTTGAACAAATAAAAGCTAATTTTTGAAGCTCCTGTTTTGTGAAATGTGTGACAACGGACTCGAGTGACCAGGGCGGGGTGCTCCCTGGGCCACCGTGGAGAGGGCAGCAGGGAGGTCCACAGGGGACACGCTAGGGAGAAGGTGTTGCGACAGTGGGAGGACCTGAGTCTAACCGAGGGCCGGGGGGCAGCTCACCCTTGGTCCTGAGCGACCGCCACATCCAAAGGAGGCGGTGCCTGAGGTGGGTGTCCCAAGCTGAGGGGATGGGGTACTGTCCCCGGGAGCAAGGTTCTACCGTCTGCTGGCTTATCGGGAGCCTGCAGGGGGCTCCGGCCCCGTCGCCCAGAGAGCACAACGCCTTCCCGGATGCTAGCCCCTGGCCCTCAGCCGCCACAGGAGAGAGCGCTCCGATGGGTGAGACCGCCCAGCTGGAAGGAGCTGGCACCTGCGGCATGGAGGGCAGGAGACACTGCGCCTGCATCACCTGTAAAGGCCAAGAGAGGCTACTGTCCGAGCGGGCAGGAGGGCTGGGCCCGGGGCTCACCTTCCTCCTCAGACCTCACACCTGCGCACAGATGTCACCGAGCGGGTTCATGGTCGGGAGAGATGGGGAGAAACCTAAACGTCCCTAAGGGGACCCACAGAAAAGACGCCCAGGACCCAGCCTTAGGGAACAAAGGGCGCCTCGAGGTCATCGTAACATCCAGCAACTGGACAGTAGCTGTGAACTGTCACCGTTGGAAATTTTGAATTTGTTACAATGCAAGTTTGTGTTAAATTGAGAAGCAGAAAAACAATAAGTTTTCACTTTTTCAAATAACACTCATCCTTCTCGGGGAGGAGGTGTACAGCGGACAAGGCTGCCCGGGTGCTGGGTTCTCTGTGACACCCATACACCAGGAGGCTGGACAGTGACTCAGCGAACAGACAGGGGCAGGTAGAGGCCTCTGGGCTTTGAGAAATGCCCCAAAGAATACAAACGGCTTAGTAAGTAACCCCAATTCTAACCCTAACCCTAGCTCTAACCCTAACCTAAGCTCTAACCCTAATCCTAGGCCCTAACGCTAACCTCTAACACAAAGCTCTAAACCTAACCATAAACTAACCTCTAACACTAACCCTAAGCTCGTACTCTAACCATAAAGCTAACCTCTAACCCAAAATTTAATGCTAACCTCTAACCTTAACCCTAAGATCTAACCCTAAAATCAAACCCTAACCCTAAACCTAAACTCTAATCCTAAACCTAAGCTCTAATCCTAACACTAACCTCTAAACTTAAGTTCTAACTCTAACCCTAACCCAAACCTCTAACACTAACCCTAAGCTCTAACCCTAACCCTAAGCTCTAACCATAGCCCTAAACTCTAACCCTAATCCTAACCCTAAGCCCTAAATCTAACTTTTAAATCAAAGCTCAAAACCTAATCATAAATTAACCTCTAACACTATAAGCTCTAACTCTGACCATAAACCTAAATTCTAACCCAAACCCTAAAATCTAATCCTAAAATCTAACCCAAACCTTACCCATAACCCTAACCATAGCTCTAACCCAGTGGTTCTCAACCTTCCTAATGCCACGACCCTTTAATACAGTTCCTCATGTTGTGGTGACCCCCAACCATAAAATTATTTTCATTGCTACTTCATCACTGTAATTTTGCTACTGTTATGAATCATAATGTAAATATCTGATATGCAGGATGTATTTTCTTTGTTATAAATTAAACATAATTAAAGCATAGTGATTAATCACAAAAACAATATGTTATTATATACGTGTTTTCTGATGGTCTTAGGCGACTCCTGTGAAAGGGTCGTTCGACCCCCAAAGGGGTTGAGACCCACAGGTTGAGAACCACTGCTCTAACCCTAGCCCTAACCTTAACCCTAACTCACACCATAACCCTAGCGCTAAACCTAACCCTAACTCTAACCCTAACGACTAATACTTAGTTATAACCCTAACCCTTGCTCTAACCCTAACCCTAATATTAACCATAGCTCTAACCCTAATCCTAACTTCTAGCGCTAAGGTCTAACCTAAACCCTAACATTTAGCCCTAAGCTTTAACCCTAACCCTAAGTTATGGCCCTAACCATAATGATAACTTCAAACCCTGACTCTAAATTCTAACCCTAACTCTAATGCTAACCTCTAACCCTAAGCTCCAAACCTAACCCTAACCTCTAAACCTAAATTCTAACCCTAACACTAACTTCTAACCCTAACCCTAAGTTCTAAAGCTAACCATAAACCCTAACCATACACTCTAACCCTAACCCTAAACACAGCTCTACCCTAACCGAAACCCTAACCTCTAACCCTAAGCTATAACCCTAATCCTAGCTCTAACCCTAACCTCTGACCCTACCCTAACCCTACCCCTAAACCTAACCCTGGCTCTAACCCTAACCCTAACCCTAACTCAAACCTTAACTCTAACACTAATCCTAACCCCTAAACCTAACCCTAGCTCTAACCATAATCCTAACCCTAAGCCTAACCACTAGGTCTAACCCTAAGCCTAGATCTAACCCTAACCCTAACCCTAAATCCCTAAGTTCTAGCCCTAACCTTAAACCCTAAGCTCTCACCCTAACCCTAAGCTATGACCCTAACCATGATACTAACCTATAACCCTTACTTTAAGCTCTAACCCTAGCCCTAAGCAATAACCCTAATCCTAACCCTAGCCTTAACCTCTAACCCTAAACTAACCCTAATCCTAAACTATAACCCTAATGGTGATGATAACCCATAACCCTGACTCTAAGCTCTAACCCTACCCTCACCCCTAAGCTCTGGCCCAGCCGTGGGCAAACTACAGCCCGCGGGCCGGATCCGGCCCATTTGAAATGAATAAAACTGAAAAAAAAAAAAGACCGTACTCTTTTATGTAATGATGTTTACTTTGAATTTATATTAGTTCACACAAACACTCCATCCATGCTTTTGTTCCGGCCCTCCGGTCCAGTTTAAGAACCCATTGTGACCCTCGAGTCAAAAAGTTTGCCCACCCCTGGAAGGGCATGTGGGAGGGTG